GAGGATAGGAGGATAGGAGGATAGGAGGATAGGAGGATAGGAGGAAAGGAGAAGGAGGCGGAGGAGGAGGAGGAGGAAGAGGAGGAAAGGAGGAGGAGGAGGAACAAGAAGAGGAGGAGGACGAGGAGGCGGACGAGGAGGAGGAGGAGGAGGAGGAGGAGGAGGACGAGGAGGAGGAGGTGCGCACCAGAGGCGCCCCCCGACGACGCGTCGTGGCAGCTGGGCGAGCGGTCCGTGCGGGCGCTCGGGAGCGCGGGCGCGCCGGCGTTTGGCTTCGACCGGGTGTTTGGCCCCGCCGCGCGGCAGGCCGCCGAGCGCTCTGGGGCCGCAGATCGGTTACAGTCGGGCATTTGATGCAGAATCCTTCTCTCAAAAGGCTGGGCGTTTCTTAACCAACTTGCCGGAGAGCTGGCTCAGTTTCTTGAGCGTGTTCGCCCCTCCAGCGTTGACACAATAACTTGGCCAGGTTTGTCTTAAGAAGTTTCTGGGAAGTTGGCCCATGTTTCTTGCGTGCTGATTTTCTTGATAATATTTTCGGCTGTACACGTAGGAGTGAACCTCGAGGCTAAAGTCGGGCATGTCCCTCTACAGGAGGAGCTGTCAACAAATAGTAAGAAGTAGTATGGGGACGATATTCTGATTATTTTTCGGCAATGCTGAAATCATTTTGATGTTTTATATTCTTCCCAAATCCGCATGCAGGATTAAGTCGGGCCTGTCCCTCTACAGGGGGAATATTCAAAAGTAGTCAGAACACAGTATGGGGATTTTTTTGACCATTTTTGATGATTTTGTTTTTGGGTATTTTTGGGGTATGTATTTCTAATTTTTCATTCAAAATCCGCCTTTTGGAGGACACGTAGGAGCACATGCCCGACCGAAGGCCTCCCAGATGGGGTCGGAGTAAATGGGGTCGGAGGATTGCGCGGCATCGACGATACATCCCCGATGCGGCTCGATGCGGAGCCCGATTTCCTTCACGCCGACGTCGCCGATGCACTGCCGACGTCGACGATGTATCGCTGGTGCATCGCCGATGCATCGCCGATGTATCGGCGATGCGGCTCGATCCTCCGACCCCATCTACTCCGACCCCATCTAGGAGGCGCCTAGAACCCTCGCCAGGGTGGCCTTTGGTGCGGGCCCATTGGGGTTCCCCGATCGGTGAATGTGCTGCGATAGCAGTAGTTTGCGCGCCTTGGTTTGGGTCCCCCGCGCCCCCCCTGAAGCCGCGCACCAACGGCCACTCTTGCCTAGGGCCACTCTTGCGTGTAGCCGAAGAAGCCGGGGCACTGCAGACCAGGGCTCTGCCAGATCCAGCGGGAGGAAGCGGAGGATGGAGGCCTTCATGCGCGTCCTCTCTCCGTCCAGCCTCGCAGGGTGAGGTCCGCAGGCGAGACGGCAGAACTTTGGCCCGCTGGCTGGCGGCGTGCTCCTCCTCCGCCCGTCTCCTCCGACCGCTCCGCCGCAGCTCTTCCTTGCCACAAGAGGGGGGCAGCCTCATCGGCTGCTGTCGAAACTGCCGCCGCGTCTGCCAGGGGCGCCGCCGCCAGGCTGCTCCCGCGCGCGGCCGCGATGGGAGGCGGTGCCTCCAAGGGTGTGCAGGCGGGCGTCGAGGCCGCCTCCGCGGCCGAGCTGCGTGCGGCGGTGGGCGGCCTGGCCTCCGCCGAGAAGGCGAAGCTCGCCGACGCGCTGCAGGCCAGCGGCGTGCCCGGTGCCGCGCCGGTCACCGTGCCCACGTCGATCACCGTGTACTACTGGGGCCCGCACCCGGGCACGCCCTGCTACGGCCGCGCCATCGGCATAGGGCGGGGGTTGCTACAGGGGTGCCCCTGGCCCAGTGGCGCGCCCCCAGCTCTGCGCTCCGTGCTGTAGCCCCCCGGGGCCCTCTGGGCCCCTGCGGTGGGGTGCCTCTGGAGGCCGAGGGGGCCTTTCCTGGAGAGCCTGGCACTCCCAGCAACACCCGAGCGTACCTGACCCGCAACCAGGCGGGGGTCAAGCACGAGAAGAGGCCGCCTCCGGAGATGCCTGACGGCAGCGCCGTGGCCGTGCCCGTGGTCGACGTGGACGGGTTCTGCATGGGCCAGTGCCCGGCCATACTCGCCGCGCTCGGCAGCATGTTCCAGCTCTCTGGCAAGACCCCCCAGGAGAAGATGCGGTGCCTCCAGGCGCTTCAGGACATGAACGATGTGTTCGGGGAGCATGGCAAGATGGCCGAGGACGCCGAGCGCAAGAAGAAATGGTTTACGTATCTTGAAAAGAAGATCGAGGGACAGAAGTAGCTGGCGGGGACGAGCGAACCGACAATCGCTGACTTCCATGGGGTCTTCGCGTTCGAATGGGTCGTGAAGAAAAGCATCGACTTCTCTGAGTATCCAAACATGACCAAGTGGTGGGCGGACATTCGGGCGTACCCAGTGGTTGCCGAGATGATCGCGTCGTGTGTCGATGGGACACAGTTGATCCCCTCCTGATCGTCCACGCCGTTAGGATCAGTGATCTGTGCCAGCTTGCTGCGAATCGAGGCCACGAAGTCACTTCGCAGCGTGCTGATAATAGTCTGCCTGCCCCACGATGGACTGGGGTCGTCCGCGGCCAAGTCCGCCGAGACGGTCAAGCTTCTGCACGGTCGCTCGTCCGCGGCCAAGTCCGCCGAGACGGTCAAACTTCTCCACGGTCGCTCAGATTTTCCGCGCGCAGCGCGCGTCTCCTGCTCTGGGCTGCCGGTTTGCCGTATCTCCCTCCCCCACTTCCCTCCGGTAAGGGGACAAAAAAGTGGAACCCCCTCGTCGTCGATACCATGTTCGTCCCACCCCCTTCCCCCCGACTCAAAGTTGGGATCCTGCGTGGTGGAGGCCCGGGGGTCAATTTTTTTGTTTGTACTCTCAAGCCTGCGCTCTTGAATGTTTGGGAACAGCTTTGAGTGTGGGGGGCGGGGAGGGGGCAGAGTCAAGGGTTCCACTTTTTTGTCCATCTGCGGTCCCCTCAGGTGCTCTCTTGTCGACCCCTGGCCTCATGTCGGGCGCGTCCCCCTACAGTCGGATTTTCGGCGAAAAATGAGGGATAGTCAACAATTAACCCCAAATGATCAAACATAATCAAAAATAGTCTAAACACTGTCCCCCAGACCATTTTTCAAAACATTATTTTTGAAGATTCCTCCTGTAGAGGGACAGGCCCGACTTAACCCCGGCCAAGCGCCCGCGCCGCTGCGACCAAGCAGTGTCTACCGCAGCTCGTCTCTGGTGTGGGCAGGGCGGGGTGGTTCGAGCGAGGACGGACATCACCGAGCGCGTCTCACTACGCGCCATGCCTGCCCGCAAGCGCCCGAAACAGAAGCGCGTGCCTGCCCCGATGCAGTGTATCGCAGATTCCCCATGGCGGATCCGGGCCACTTGCGAGGAGTTGCTCCCTTGCGAGCCGTGGGGCGCGCCTGTCTGGGACAGGCCTGAGCCGCTCGCGCCGTCCGCCCCTCTTTCGGCCGCGCCCTGCCCCCGCTCTTCCTCCTTGCCCGGTGGCACACTTCGCTCTCACGGCATCCCCGTTTAGGCATCCCATCGCCAGCGCAGGCGTCCCCTGCCCAGCTGCCAGCGCAAAGTTGTCTATGACAGCCCCGCCGCCCTCGGAGAACCGCTGTGCCCCAGCGGCGACGGCCGATGCCCACTGCCGCGTGGCGCGGCGGGGCTGCGCCGCTGCGCGCCCCCAGAGCTCCACGCTGTCCGGGCATGTTCGCTGTCCCCCACGCGCGGGCCTGGCGTGGGGCCGCCCATCGCCGCCGGCAGAAAGTTCTCTGTCAACGCCAGCGTAGGGTTGCAGTTCCGCTCCGTTTCTGTGTCTCGTTGGCTGTTTTTTTGGTCCCCCTCTTTCCCCCCCCCTCTCTCGTCCTCCGCCCTCTCCTCCCCTTGGCGCAGCGCGCAGAGGGTATGGAGGAGATGGGAAGGCTCCATCGAAGGAGGCTGCTTCTCAGAAGGCGCGGGCCTTGTCTGCAGATCGAGGGCCGGCGCCTTCTAAGAAACCGCCTCCTTCTGAGAAGCCTTCCCTTCCCCCCGTACCCCCTTCTGCGTGCCGCCAAGCTTTTCCACCACCTCCTCGCGTCAAAACTCGGACTGGGGGCTCCAGGGATCGGGTTTCCAGAAGCAGCTTCGAGGGGCGCCCGGCAGCGGAGGCCAGAGGCATCCCGGAGCCACCCAAACGGGCGAAACACATTGAGGATCCCAAGCCTCGATCCTTGATTATCCTCCTCCTTCTCCTCCTCCTCCTCCTCCTCCTCCTCCTCCTCCTCCCCCTCCTCCTCCTCCTCCTCCTCCTCCTTCTCCTCCTCCTCCTCCTCCTCCTCCTCCCTCCTTCGCCTCTCCTCCTCCTATGCCCTCCTCCTCCTCCTCCTCTCCTCCTCCTCCTCCTCCCCTCCTCCTCCTCACCTCCTCGTCCTCCCCTCCTCCTCCTCCTCCTTCTCCTCCTCCTCCTCCTCATCATCATCCTCCTCCCCTCTTTCTCGAGGAGAAGGAGAAGGAGGGAGGAGGAGGAGGAGGAGGAGGAGGAGGAGGAGGAGGAGGAGAGGAGGAGGAGGAGGAGGAGGAGGAGGAGGAAGGAGGAGGAGGAGGAGGAGGAGGCGGAGGAGGCCTTCCACGTCCGCCTCGTTCTGCTCGCTCCCCTCTCTTCCTCCGTGCGGCTGGCCTCGCGTCCGCTTCCGTCGGCGCGGAGCAGTTAGCCCCGAACTCGCCCCGACTGCTCGATCGATCGACCCCTGATTTCGAAGAAGAAAAAACCACGTTGGCGCTCCGCACGGATTTCTTGGAGCCGCGTCTGGGCCCCCCCGGCGGCGCCTCTGGCTCCGACCCTGGCGCGCTCCGCGCGCCAGGGAGGGGGTCCAGCGCGAATCCAAGAAATCCGCGCGGAGCGCCAAAAGTTTATGTTTTGGTCGGGCATGTCCCCCTACAGGCGGAAATCAAACATACCCCAAAAATGCCCCAACATGGTCAACAATGGTCGACAACAACGTCCCCAGACTTTTTTGACTATTTGGGAATTTTCCTCCTCTAGAGGGACATGCCCGACGTGGTGGTTTCTTCGTCTCTTCTCTCGCCTCCCTTCTGGCCGAGAACATGTCAGGTTACATACTGTCGTATGTGTGCTTTTCTACCAGACTGCTTCAGAGCACGCCGCTGTGAGTCGGGCGACTGCCTTCTGCCAGCGGCAGTGCGTGCAGCAGCCGCGCACTGCAGCCGACGTGCCGTCCCAGGCACGGTTTCTGTCTGTCTGTCTGCATTCTCTCGCCTCAGGCGGAGGTGTACTCGGCGGTGGAGCCCGTGGTCCTGGGCGCCCTCCGCGGCCACAGCGGCGCCGTGCTCTGCTACGGCCAGACCTCGGCGGGCAAGACGTTCACCATGGAGGGCCCGCCGATGGACAAGGAGGCCCGCCGGGGCCCCCGGAATGAAGTCGGGCGCGTGCCTCTGGAGGAGGAGTCTCGCAGGCCTCGAGGTTGACACCAACACCAATGTCGGCGGCCTCCACCGAGGGAAGAAGATCCCGATCTCGGTGGTGGTGGTGGTAATATTCTGGCTTTCAAGGTGACCGAAATGTTACCACCAACACCGGCATCTAGGATCACTTTCCCCCTGTGGAGGCAATCCCCTGTGTTGGTGTTGGTGCCCATCTCCAGGCCTCCAAGAATCTTCAAAAATAGTCGAACAATAGTCAGGGGATGATTTTTCGATCCTTTTTGACTGATTACTTTTTGACCATTTTGGTTGGTCCCTTCCAAATCCGCTTGTAGGAGGACGTGCCCGACCCGACCCTGGATGTAACGGGCTGGGGATCGAGGCTCGGGGGTCGTTTCGAATGCTTTTTGGTCGCCCCCCGGAGGTTTTCGGCCCCACCGCTGCGCGCAGCTCGCACAGCTTGTCTGGATGGACTCCCGGGGAGGCGATGGGGGCGGGGACGGATCTCGAGTGGACGATCGAGGATCGATTCTCTCGACTTGCTCCTGCGCTTTCAGGGGTTCTCAGCGGAGACCTCCAGAGACACCCGCTAGGCGGACTGACGACGCCAGGATCTCGGGGGGTGGGCAGAGACATGCCGCACCGGCGACCCTCCCAGCCAACGGCGAGGCCTGCTGCCAGGCGGTGCCATCCGAGCTGGAAGCATCGAAGGCCGCGGCCCTCGGAACCGGCCTTGACGCCTGGACGCCGCTGAGCTTCTCCGGCGGGCACGGCGGTGCCGAAGCGCTTGACCTCAGCGGCCTTGGGGGCGGCGCCCGCGTGGTTCGCCGTCCCCCGTCCCTCGCGGCGCCACCGGTGCCGAGCTGGGCGATCGAGCCCCCCTCGGTCGAACGGTGGAGCGAGCTCGCCGGGCACGGCGGCGAGTGTGCCCCTGGGTCGCCGAGTGGCTCTGGCGGGCAGAGCGGTACCAGCGGCTTAGGGGGGGGGGCGCCCGCGGGGTTCGCCGTCCCCGGTCTTCTGCAGCGTTGTCGGTGCCGGTCTGGGTGATCGGGCCCCCCCCCCGGTCGAATGGCTGAGGAATGGAGCGAGGAGGATGAGAGAGGGGGCCATGGGGAGAGGACGGGGGGAGGGGGGAAGGGGGGGTTCGGATGCAACTCCTGGGAGGTCAAATTCTGATTTTGCCCTGTCCGAAATCCAGCTTAATCCGGCTTGATCCCGCTTAATCCGGCTTAATCCCGTTTAATCCCGCTTAGTCCGGCTCAATCTGGCTTAATCCCACTTAATTCGCGGCCTAATCTGGCGTAGCAGCCCCCCAAGGGGCTGAATCCTTCTTAATCCTTCCGGCCAAGACCTCCCAGTAGTTGCCTCCTAAGGGGGGGGGGCGGAGGATCGAGGAAGTGCAGGCATGGAGCACGGCGTGTGCACTCGTGGCGGGTCCAGTTTCCGTGCAGAGTCGGCGCGCTCTGTCGCGAGATCGGGCGGCATTGGCCTCGTGTGCCTTCTCCGATCCGTGGATCTGGCGCCAACGGACCAGATCCACGGATCTGTAATCCATGTCAGCGTGGGCCCAGGAGGAGGAGGGCGAGGAGGAGGAGGACGAGGAGGAGGAGGAGGAGGACGAGGAGGAGGAGGAGGAGGAGGAGTGCAGGGATAAGGGGGGGTGGAAGTTCGGAGGATAAGGGGGAGGAGGACGGGGATGGTGACGATGAGGGGGAGGACCAGTGTAAGCCCAAGACGCACCGACGATGTTGCACCAAACCCTCCCTCCAAGTTCCCTCTTTATATGTCCCTACAAGAGCTTGCTTATCATGAGAAGCCTTCATCGTGCCAAAGCATAATTCCAGGGATTTGGAGAACGCGAATCAACGTGACTGTTGCAACCTCAGAATTTACAATCTTGCGAGAGAACCAGTCCGGGGACTTGAACACCGCGAGCCAACGTGATTGTTGCACCCTGACGCTCATAGTTATTGCCAGACCACCGTTCCTGGGACTTCAGCCATACGAGCTCCTGAACCAGTCGCAAATTGTCAAGACGAATGTGCCCGGCGATGAGGCGTGAAAAGGAGTCGCCCTTCATCTGTGAAACCGCTCTACACTTTTAAGACGCATGTGCACGGCGTTAACGCGAGAGCCGCATTTTGCAAAGGACCCGCACTGCGTCCCTGAAGCTGTTGCATACTTTACGTCGAATTGCGCGTGCTGCGACGGCGAAAGCCATCGCAGCTTTCAAGACGAAGGTGCGCTGCGCTGACGCGATGAGCTACATTTTGAAGAGGATCCGCCCTCCGTCCGCGCAGCCGTTGCTTATTTCAAGCTTCAAGATCTTCATCGGTGAGGAAGTCCTCGGGCGAGCAGCCCGGCCCGCACGACGGACACGCCTGGGGGTTGCGACAGGGAGAAGTTACTTGAGGCGTTCCAGAGAGGGACGTGCCTTCCTTAGAGAGGTCGTTCATAGGCCTGTTTCCCACCACTACCACCATAAGTTGGAGGGGAGAAGGAGGTGAAGGTTGAGGAGGAGGAGGAGGAGGAAGAAGAAGAAGAAGAAGAACAGGGGGAGGAGGATCTCCTCCCCCCTCCAACTTATGGTGGTGGTGGTGGTGGAAAACAGGCCTATCAGTCCTCTCTTCCTCGGCGGAGGGGCGGCGGAGGGGAGGCGGGAGGTCGGCGGCGGAAGTAGAACACCAGGCTGCCTCCGCCGGCGGATGGGGTGGCGGAGGGGCGGCGGAGGGCGGCGGAAGTAAAAGCTGCGCCCCCGAGATATGAAAACTCAGGGGTGGACAGAACCCCCAACAGTGACACGTCGATTAGTGAATTGTCCGTTTTCGGTTCTCGAGAGGGCGCCGTGGCCGTTATTTTTTATTTTCCAGGTTTGCGCCCGCCAGGTTTGGGCCTCAGGTCGTTTTCACTAAACCACGTTTTACTAAAGGGGCTGTCCATCCCCGAAAAACGCTTCTTTTGGGGTTCGGGGTTCCCGAAATCGCCCACTCGTGAGGATCAAGTCGGGCCTGTGCCTCTACAGGAGGGCTGTTCAAACAGAGTCCAAAAAGAGTCTGGGCATTATGTTTTGACTATCTTGGAGCCTTTTGGGAGCATGGTTGGAGTATTTTCCATAATTCGCCCAACATCCCCCTGTAGAGGGACGGGCCCGACCTAACGTCAGGACCAGGGATGGAGCCGCAGAGTGGGAGGGCGAGGCGAGGCGCGGTGGGCACCCGCCGATGCCGAGCCCCCGCGCGAGAGGCCTGGGGCATCATCCCGCGAGCGCTGGACACCCTCCTCTCGGCGGCCGCCGCGCCGGCTCCCGGCGCAGCTCCCAGGCAGCGCCTCCTCGGGGGGGGGCCGTGCCGCTCCGGGTGCCCTGCCCCAGCAGACCCCTTGCGTCGTGCAAAGATCTCCGCGGGAGTTTTTTTGCTTCTGTTGTTTGTGTGCTTGTTTGACTGTGTGTGTTTGTTTGTTTGTTTGGTCGTGTGTTTGTTTGTTTGTTTGTTTGTTTGTTTGTTTGTTTGTTTGTCTGTGTGTGTGTGTGTGTTTGTTTGTCAGTGTGTCTGGCTGTCTGTTTGTGTGTTGGTGTGTCTGCCTGTTATCTTCGGGCTCTGCGGGCCCTCCGCGGGCCCCAGAGCGGTCAACAACAGCGTCTCGGGAGGGAGAGCCCGCTCCAGGGAGAGGGGGTCGAGGCCTCTGGGGGTTGCACGCTGTGAAGCAACGATGACGCCGGGGGTCTGGGGCCGAGGGGCGGGGCTAGGATTCAGTCGGGCCTGCCCCTCTAGAGGAAAATTCGAAAGTCGTCGAAAAATGATTGGGGGGCGATTTTTGGACTATCTTTGAATTGAGTGGAGTATTTTAGGGGTATTGTTCTGGTTTTTTTTTACGCCTAAAGCCCGTCAGTAGGGGGACACGCCCGACCTAAGGCTAGGACCGGCATGAGTCGGTCCAGAGCGTTCCGGAGCGATCTCGGAGCGTGCCGGGGGCGTTCCGGGACAGCCGCGGCGCCTGATCCATCCTCCAGAGCCGCCGGGGAGCGCCGAGGTCCCCGGCCTGTCCAGGTCCGATGTCGTCCCGGTGCTGGCCTCGTCTTGTGCCACGACGGTGACGAAGGTGCAGGCGACGGTGGTGGCGGGTGCGGTCTTGACACGGCCTCGGGCAGGCCTATCTCGGCTTCTGGTGCGGTGTCCTCCCCCTTTGCCTCTGCTTTCGGTGTGTGTTTTCTCTGTCTTTGTCTCTGTGTCCGTGTAATCGTTGTCGTCGTCGTTCTCCTTCTCCTCCTCATCCTCCATCGGCAGGTTGGCAAGGTTGGCAAGGTCGGAGGGGGAGGAGGAGGAGGAGGAGGAGGAGGAGGAGGAGGAGGAGGAGGAGGAGGAGGAAGAGGAGGAGGGGGGGGAGGGCGGAGGACAGGGAGAGGAGGCGAGGAGGAGGAGGAGTAGGAGGAGGAGGAGGAGGAGGAGGAGGAGGAGGGAGGAGGAGGAGGAGGAGGGGAGGAGGAGGAGGAGGAGGAGGAGGAGGAGGAGGAGGAGGAGGAGGAGGAGGAGGAGGAGGAGGACGAGGACGAGGACGAGGAGGATGCCCCTGCCTCTGGCGTGCCTCGTCTTGTTGTGGCGGCATGCCCAGCAGGCGCTCTGCCCTGCGGTGCCACGGCGGCTGTCAAAGGGCCCTGCGTCGGCAGGCGCTCGCGGTTTGCGAAGACCTATGGATTCCGTAGAAGGTTCGCAGCAGCGCGCAGTTGTTGGTTTGTATAAAGCACGTTGCGAAACCACCGGTTGTTCAGATGTTCCCCGGACGCTCCATCTTGACATCCTCAAGAGCCTGCGGTTTCTGAGGGACTTCTGCATGCGCGCGACGGCGCGCGACAACCGCTCGCACTGGCCTCGCGCGTGTTCAGGGGATGTCGGTCATAGAGAAGGTCAAGTAATTATCGCCTTTCTCCTCTTGTCGTCGTCTTCCTCTGAGTGTCGCCTCTCTCAAGAGGTCGAGTTCCACCTCGAATGGTCGCTTCCGTCTGCAACATGTTCAACAAGGGCTCCTTGCTAGTCGAACTGTCGAATTTCCTCCCCGCAAGGTAGGCTTCTGCGCTGCTCCGTCCATATTTACTGGACGAGTCTGAACTATGCTTGAGAGTGAGGGTCTGGACTTCCTGGGGGGGCGTGGCGGGACCAGCCTCTCCTCCCACCCCTCCTCGTGTGCCTCGCAGGCTGCGCTTGTCAATGCTCGAGATCTACATGGAGCAGCTCAGAGACCTGCTGGACCCGGCGAACGGCGCAGAGCTTCACATCACGACGGATCGCTCGGGAGAGGCTCTGCTGCTTGAGCTGGGGGTTCTGGACATAAGGAGGAGGAGGAGGAGGAAGAGGAGGAGGTGGAGGTGGAGATGGAGGAAGGAGGGAGGAGGGAGGAGGGAGGAGGGAGGAGGGAGAAGGGAGGGAGGGACGGAGGGAGGAAGGAGGAGGACGAGGATGATGATGAGGAGGATGCTGTGTTAATTTCTTTTTGGATCTCCGGGAGGCTTTCGCCGTCACGGCTGGGTTCCCATACAAAATTGTAGTCGTAGCGCAACCCAGGATCAGTCACGAGGTCCGAACTTTGAAGGGAGGGAGGCGACCAGCAGGAGAGCGGATGGTGATGGATGAAGACGAAGGTGATGATGTTGTTGTTGGTGGTGGTGATTATGATATTGATGATGCTGGTGGTGATGATGATGCTGATGAGGATGATGACGACGACGATGATTGTGACAAAGAGGATGATGTTGGTGATGATGCTTATGATGCTGATGGCGACGACTGATTTTGATGGACATGTCGCTGATGATAACGACGACGGTGATTATGATGGAGACGATGCTGCTGATGATGATGATGCTCATGCTGATGATGACGATGCTGGTGACGATGGTGATGCTGATATGGTGATGAGTTGATGATGATGCTGGTTTTGATGGTGATGCTGATGTTCATGATGATGCTGACAATGCTGATTATGATGATGATGCTGATGCTTATGATTCCGATTATGCTGATGCTTGTAAGTATTATGATGCTTATGCTGAAGATTATGTTGCTGAGAATATAGACACTCGTGATGTTGATGAAGCTGATGATGATGCTGGTGATGGGGATTGCTGGTGCCGTGTTTGGCTGGCCGCTGGGTTGCCTGACAACGTGTGCTCGCGTTGTGCATCGTCGATCCCTGAGATAGCAAGCACCTCGTTAGGATTACATATGTTGGGCGGGCTTCAACCGATGGCCATCCTGAAATTCAATGTGCCAGAGTTCGGCACCGAGCGCAGGCGTTGCTGCCCCGAGTCTCTCGGGAGGTGCTCTCATCAGCGGGTGTGGCAGTTGAGGAGGAAGGATGCGCACATGTTGTTTGTGCAGTGCCTCTTGGCTTTTGTTGGTGGCGGGACGTCGAATACGTCGAAAACGCTCCGTGTCTTGCAAGTGGTGGTGCCAATCAGGTTTGCGTTCGTGGCCTGCGAGAAGTGGAGGCCGCAGGCTTAGTGGCCCACAAAGTGCGAAGGGAAGCGATGAAAGTGGAGAGAAAGAGAGAGAGAGAGAGAGAGAAAGAGAGAGAAATAAAGAGAGAGAGAGAGGGGGAGAAGGAGAAGGAGAGGGAGAGAGGGGGGCAGGGAGAACATAGAGAGGGAGAGAGAGAGAGAGAGGGAGAGAGTGAGAGAGAAAGAGAGAGAGAGAGAGAGCGAGAGCGAGAGAGAGAGAGAGAGAGGACAAGCAGAAAAGGAAGAGAGAGAGAGAGAGAGACAGGGAAACAAGCAACAACGCGTCGCTCCGAGGGAACCCCCTTTGCGGCGGCGTCAGCGCTACGCACATAAGATATATAGAGAGAAAGAGAGAGAGAGAGAGAGAGAGAGAGAGAGAGAGAGAGCTGGACGGATGGAGGGAGAGACATGTATGTACCTCGGGCCAGTCGGGGCAAGGGGAAGGGAGGAATACAGTCCAGACGAATCCCCTTTCTTTCCCCTTCATCCATGTGCGTCTCCTCAGCGTGCTCCCTTCTCCTCCTCATCCTCCTCCCTCCCTCCCTCCCTCCCTCCCGTCCGATCGACCAGGACGGGATATCATCTTGCGGGCTCCTGCTACCTCCTGGGACCTCCTGGGGCCTCGGGCCTCATGGGACCTTCTGGAATCTCATAGGCCTCGGGTCTCCTGGGACCCCCTGGGGCCTCCTGAGACCTCCTGGAGCTTCCTGGGGCCCCTCTGGAGCCTCTCTGGGACCTCCTGTGGCTTCGCCGGACCTCCTGGAGTCTCCTGGGGTTTCCTGGGGCCCTTCTGGGACTTCCTGGATCCCTTCCAGACCTCCTGTGGCTTCGTGGGACCTGAAGCCTCCTGGGACTTCCTGGGGAGGGAGACGGGATAATGGCGAGGGCCTTCGTCGTCGTCGTCGTCGTCGTCGCCATCGCCATCGTCGATGTCATCGTCGTCGTCGTTGCCTTCGTGGCCGTCGTCGTCGCGTCTACATCACGACAACCCCGGGGGACAAGAGGAGGGTGGTGACAGGAGGCGCTCCTGCGTGCCCCGCCAGCATGTGTCCCCCAGAAGGGGAGGGGCCCCTGGGGCCTCAGAACCAACGTAAGAAACACATGCTGATTCAAAGTGTGCCACTGCGCGTTTTGATAGATGGAAGGCGTTCTGAAGGTCTTGAAAGCACCTCGAGCGTCGTCGTCGCCGTCGTCGTCGCTGTCCTGGAGATGTCGGGCGCGGGTTGGGGGTGCGAGGCCCGTTGTCGCCGCCGCCGCGGTGCGGTCGGTCCGTAGTTCAAGCAATTCGAAATTGCATGCACCCATCATGTTTTCCCGTGGGGCCGCCAGGACTCTCGCCAAACACATTAGTTTTAAACATTTTTGTCTGTTGCGCCGCCGATTCTGGAAGCGTTCTCGACACCCCTGGGGCCGCCCCGACGATGTCGACGTGTTCCGACACCGACGATTCCTGCATGGGTCAGGACGGCTCCACGGGAGAACCCATCGGTTTCTATCTCCATTGTAATGGCCTCCGGCCAGTGCCGCCGATCCGGGGGGCTCCGGAGTCGGTGATCTTCGCAGCTCTGTGGCCTCCTCCCTCCTCGATTCTCCCGGTCCTCTTTCTTCTCCTCCGGGGCGGTGCCTGGAGCGGCGGTCCCAGGGGGGGGGTCCGGGGGGGGTTCCGAGGGGAGGGTCCTGGGGGCGGTAGCGGCTCGATCTGAGGGGTGTCCCTTGGGACCCCCCGACACCTCTTGGGGGTGCGCAAAGCATTAAGCAAATGCCAGATGCCCCCCCCCCCTCCCTCCCTTCCCCAGGGGTGTCCTGATGCGCACATCATGAAAAAGACGCCAGATGTGGGACCCCCCCTCCCCCTTCCCCAGCAGAGCCCCCCCAGCGCCCCCCTCCAAGCAGGGCTGAAGCTCTGGCTTAGGCTCAGAGCTGAAGCTCTTGCTGAAGCTCCTTGTAGTTCACACGCCGGCTCGGCGGATATTCCTATTCTTATATTTTTACTACCCAGACCCCCCCCCCCCTAACCGGACCACCCCCCCAGGACACCCCAGACGCCCCTGCCCTCCACCCAACGAACGCCCTGGACGCCCTTTCGGAGTCCCGGCGGCCTTCCGGGCAGATGGACGCCCCTGCCGATCGGAGCCCACGGGTCCAAAACGAGCCCCAAGACGGCCCATCAACGCTCAAAGATGACCCACTATGGTTCCAAGAAGGCCCACGAGGCCCCCAAGACGGGCCAAGAGGCCCCAAAAGGACCCCCCAAGAGTTACAAATCGTCCCATTCCCTGAGGAAACGTACGCTTTTGAAGATATTGGGTTTTTCCGTTTTCACAGCGTCCTCGGCATCTCCACAGACTTTCAAGATCGCCCCGGGACGGCCTCCGAGGCCTCTATGAGCGGCCCAAAGCGGCCCAAAAGAGCACCAAGACGGATCAAGAAAAGCCCAAGGCGGCCCAAGAGGGGCCCCAGAGGGCCCCGAGAACTCCCAAGAAAGCCCCAAGAGAGCCACAGAAGGCCCCCAAGAGTGTCCCAAGGGGGCCCCCGAAAAGCCCCTGGCCGGCCCGGCCTTCCAAAACAGCCAAAAGAGGGTTCCGGTACGGCCCAAGAGGGATCCAAGACGGCCCAAAACAGCCCCAAAAGGAGTCCTCTGGTCCGGAGAATCACCAGGAGCTCAAACGCGAGCCCACACCGTTCCAATATAGCTTCCAGCAGCTCTCTCACACTCCAGAGGCCGTAGTTCGCAGGACGGTGGTTCGAAAGGACCTCAGAAGCCCCACAAGCGTCCAGGACCCCTCCAGGCATTCAGGAAGCGACCAATCGTCGTCGCCGCCGCCGTCGTTGTCGTCGTCCTACGGAGGGGCAGGAGGTCTCGGCCTGTCATCGCGGGCTGCCGCCTCATTGTTGCGTAGCGCGCTTACTGGCGCTCCGAGCGCTCGCTCCCGCGGCCTGCCCGAGAGGAGGAGCAGGAGGAGCAGGAGGAGGAGGAGGACGACGACGAGGAAGGGCCAAGTTTCGGAGCGCTTCTGGTCCCATCGGGAGCTTCCCGAAGCCCTCGAGAGACGAGCGCCCCATCTGCAGGTCAGACGAGAGCCTCATCGTTGTCGTCGTCGTCGTCGTCGTCGTCGTCGTCGTTGTCGTCGGCGTCGTCGTCGTCGTGGTGGTGGTGGTTGTGGTGGTGGTGGTGCTGGTGGTGGTGGTGGTCCTCGCGATCGTGGTCGTATTCGTGGTCTCGACGCCCCTTCTGCTGAAACACGCGATGAATTATTGCTTTTCCGAGAAGAGTCCGGAACAAGACTGCATTGGCGCGAAGCGCCAATGTAACCTTGTGTGTATATATATATATATATGTATATGTATATGTATATACATATATAGATATACATATATATATATATATTGCTACACATGTATGTATGTGTGTATGTATGTATGTATGTATGTATGTATGTATGTATGTATGTATGTATGTATGTATATATATATATATAGATATATATCTATATATCGGTCGGTGCCCCGAGGAGGCCCCAACATACTGTGCACGAGAAGCGGCGACTTCTCAAAACGCAGCCGCCAGAGCCCGTGGGCCTCGCCCCGAACGGCCGCTTGGGGCCACCCGAGGCTTCGATGGCGCACCCTTGTGCTGTGTGTAGATGTGCGGCATAAGATGTACACATCATAGATACCGCTATTTCTGACCATTACGTGCTCGCACATGTATGTATATATTAGCGCGTGGTCTGTGCGCGCATAGTCGTATACAAACAGTCACGTCTAGTCATCTACATACATACGTACACACCGACAGACTGGCCGGCGTACCTATAGACATACATGAATTCATACGCACACACATTTGCGCATACACACAGACAGTTGCATGGAAACAGTTACTACAAGAAGGGCAGACACGATACAGCAGACACATCATTCGCGCTATTCGCATGCATCCAAGAACTGAGACTAACCAGAAACCCGAAGTCGACCACGCATTCTTTATTTCCGGGAGTTGGATGCCAATACACACCACGAGGGCTCGAGACGGCCAAACCGCGCCCAAAGAGTATCATAGCACCGCCTCCTGCGGGAGGGCGATTCGATGTCTGAAATCGACGAGGTGAAGTGCTATGACAAACGTTTTTCCTCCGCAAGCGCCGACTGATACTCAACTTCGTTACGATGAAGACTAGAAGTTCGTTGGGTGCGCAAGCGTCGGCGAAGAGAGATCGCGGAGGAGAAAACTGCAAGGGCGTTGTGTGACAAATTCCCGCGGCCCAAGCGGCCACTGATATAAACATTAACCGCACAGCAGCAACCCAAGTGGCAGAAGCGAGGAAGGAAGAGAGGAAATACATGCGAACGACAGACAGCAGCGGACCAGGGTGAGCACAGCGGACCAGAGTGAGCACAGCGGGAGGTTGTCAGAAATAGGTTTATATATAGATATATCCATAGATGTGGGGCCCCAGAACCCTTTAAGAAACCACGGACAAACATAAGAGCTGGAAGGTATTTCGGGGGTGCCGAATTTCTTTTGTTCAAAACTAATTTCGTTTTGAATCGTGTGGCCCCAGAACTCCCGAACAACCTCGGAGTTGGGAGCGTTTCGGGGGTAGTCTGGGGGTCTTCAGAAATCATATTGTTTTTTTTTAATTGTAGGGCTCAAGGGCAGCCCCCGAACAACACTTGAAAAACTACTCCCGAGTTGGAGGTTTGCTGATGTTTTCAGGAGCGTTTTCATTAATCTTATCATTTGCATTATTATCAGTAAGGGCTTCGCCCCCTGCCGCCGGCCCCCTCTCTCGCAGAATGCGCTATGCAAGAGCTATGTCATGAGGCCTGGGCGCTGTCGTGAAGCAGTATCGGAACGTCATGCGAGGCCGACTCGTAATGAGCGAGTGGTAAGACGTCGTGACCCTGCCGATCAGCGGGAGGGGTGCCACCGAATTTTATAACATGTGGCAAGTCCCTAGTGTTTTTGGACCATGACCCTACGGATCCGCGTGAGGGGTGCCACCGGATTTCAGAAATGTAGCAAATCCGATTTGTTTTCGGACCCTGACCCCGCCGATCTGCTTGAGGGGTGCCACTGGATTTCAGACATGTAGCAAATCCTCTGTGTTTTTGGACCCTGACCCCGCCGATCTGCATGAGGGGTGCCAGCGAATTTTAGAAATGTGGCAAATCCCATGTGTTTTTGGACCCTGACCCCGCCGATTTGCGTGAGGGGTGCCACCGCATTTCAGACATGTGGCGAATCCCTTGTGTTTCTGGACCCTGACCCCGCCGATCCGCGTGAGGAGTGCCAACGAATTTAAAACATGTGGCAAATCCGATTTGTTTTCGGACCCTGACCCCGCCGATCTGCGTGAGGGATGCCACCGAATGCTGGGGTTGGCATCGTTCCAGGTTAGCCGCCGGCCAGGTGGGGGAGGGGGTGTATACTAATAGGGAACAGTGATGCACCCCTCCCCGAAGGGGAAGAGGGGCAGATGGAAGACAAAACCCCCTAGACCACCTGCGCCCTACAGGGCTGCTGGTGGGATTCGTGGACGCGCCGTGTTCCGGGAGGAATCCGCCAACGGCCCTGAAGCCTGAGCCGCTCCCGCCGCTCCCGCCGTCGCACTGGACGCCGTGGGGGGTGCCCCCCCCCCCGCCTCTCTGACCAGGCTCGGCGGCGGAGCCCGCACCTCTCCTCCGCCATCGCCATGCCAGGGTGCGATCGAGGATTTTGTGTAAGGTTCGTGCTGGAGGGGCGGACCCCCTCTCCACCCCCGCCGCTCCCTTTCCCCCCCTATCCCTGCACGGGCTCTCCGGTGAGGCAGCTGGGGAACGCCAGCCCGTCGCTTCTAGAACCGCTGGAAGGGCCGACGGCTGTCGTCCGTGCTCGACCCCTGCCGCCGACAGCCAAACATGGGTCATCTCCTCCCCTCCCTCCCTGCCTCCCTCCCTCCTGGACGGCTCCCCCTCGGAGGTCCGCGCTGAGGTTCTGGGTCGGCGCTGGGCCCCCCTCCCCACACCTCCTCCCAGGCGCCCAGAGCGCGCCGGGTGCGCCGCTGGCGCGGCGTCTGGGGCGTGAGGAGGGGGTGCCAGCGCCGACCCGTGCTTTCGGTGTGGGCCCCCAGATGCCCATTTGGGCTGGGGTGGGCTGGGCCCCACAATGTCGGAAACTGGAACGTACCAGTGGCGGGCTGTTTTTCGATCCCAGATTGTCTTGAGGGTCGAGGGCGACGCTGGGGTGGTGTGGTGTATACTTTTTTCCCCGATGTCCCGGGGGAACAACGAAACATGTATACACCAGGGTCCCGTATGCACCAGGATCCGCTCTCCAGTGCAAATTCTAATGCAGGGCCGGAAGAAGCGTCGGTGTATAGAGTTCGATTCCCTACAATGGGCTGGCTGAGCGGTCCCTCCCCTTCCTCCCTCCCTCCCTCCCTCCATCCCAGAGTGCTCCCTTTTGGAGGTCCGCATCGAGTGCAACGTCGGCGCCAGGCCCCTCCTCCCTGCGCCTCCCCCGCGCCTCCTCCCCGGGGCTCGGAGCGCGCTGGGTGCGCCGCTGCGGCGGCGAGTGGTGAAGGGGTGCTCCAGCGCCGACCCGGCCCTCGGCGCCGGGGCCTCGAAGGCTGGTCAGGTCCGGGGTGGTGTCGGTGTCCTGGGACGCTTTGCTGCCGGTGTCCAGTGGTCGAGCGCGCGCGAGCTGAGCTCCCCAGCGGGCGATGGAGGCCGGGGGTCGGGAAAGTTCTGGACGGGAGAGAGCCCCAGATCCCCTCAAGTCAGGAAGAGATCACGACGGGAGGTTTTTCGCAGTTTTCGGTCTCTGGGGGCCCTCACCCGGCCTCGCGACCGTCAGGAAACGACTCAGGATGAAAAACCAGACCTGGGGAAAGGGTCCAGACCTCCGGGAGTCGCGTCATGAAAAAATCAGGACGTCGGGGATCTGGGACTGTGGCCGCGCAGGCCTGGCTGAAAGTTTGGTGGATTCGGAATCTGACCCAAGAGGTGGCGCGACGGCTCGAGCCAGCCACACTGGGAGTTCCAGAAAGGGCTTCGTCTTCGAGGGTAGAAGGAGTTGCCATCGCTTCCCCGGCGGGAGGCGGCGGAAGGGTGGCGGAAGATCGGCGGATCTAAAACGAGGCCGCTTCGGCCGGCGGAAGCCGGAGGAAGCTCGGCGGACGGCGGCGGAAGTAAAACATGTGCGCCTAAGAGATGGACGCGTTTTTGGGTTCAGAGTTTCCAAGGTCGCCCACATGGGACCAAACATGTGCCCATATCGCGACATCTTGAGCTAAATGGCTACGGATGCTGATGTTGATGTTGATGCTGATGTTGATGATGATGATGATGATGATGATGATGATGATGATGATGATGATGATGCTGATGCTGATGCTGATGATGATGATGATGATGATGATGATGATGATGATGATGATGATGATGATGATGATGATGATGATGATGATGATGATGATGATGATGCTGCTGATGATGATGATGATGATGATGATGATGGCTGATGATGAGGAGGAGGAGGAGGAGGATTCCGATGACGACGACAAGGACGACGACGACGAGGTTCGGTTCGATGACGCGGTGCCTTTGAAACCCTGGTGTCTGCCAAGGTCCAATCATTGAGGGACGCGCTGGAGGTCTTCGAATTCGGCCGCGCGCACCGGGCCGTGGCTGCCACAGGCATGAACGACCGCAGGCGGCGCGAATGTCGGGGGGTATAGTGTGCGTGCATAACCGTGTGCCTCTTGCACACGTTTGTTCGCGTCAGTGTGTGCACGCGCGCGCGCGTGATTCTGTGTCTTTGGTTGTCGGTGCTGTACCCTCGCGCCCGCATGTGTGGCAGTTCAGCCTGGCCATGTAAGCTCAGCTCAACACAGCTCAGTACACCTCAGCTGAGGTCAGTCTTGCTCAGCCCAGCTCGGTCCTCCACTCTGGCGCAGACCAACCCAGCCGAGCCCAGTCCAGGCCAGCTCAGCACACCCAAGTCTAGAGCAGTCCAGCCGATTCCAGCTCAACCCTCACGCAGTCCTTCCCAGCTCAGTCTAGCTCAGCTCTGTTCGGCACTGCTTGGTCCCGCTGGGCTTCAGCCCAGCGCAGCTCAATCCTGCTCAATCCAATTCATCAACCACTTCAGTCCACCCCGGTGTAGGTCACCGCAGCATCGCAGAACCAAGCTCGGTCCGGCTTTGTGCAACTCAGCCACGCCCAGCCCAGCTTGGCCAGCCGTGGCCCATTTCAGACTAGCCCAGTCCAGCGCAGTTCAGCTCAGCCCGACTTGGTCCGTCACAGTCCAGACATGACTGCTTAGCAAGATCTCGGGCCAGCCTAGTCCAATTCAGTTCAGCTCAGCCAAGCTCATTCCAACTGATTCCTGCCTGGCCCAGCCCTTTCCAGCTCCACCCAGCTCCGCCCAGCCCAGCCATCCTGGCTCAGGCCAGTTCACTGCGGCTTTGTCCATATCTCATTCTTGCTTGGCCTAGCAGGGCACCTCAGCCCATTTGAGATTCAGCTCAGCCCTGCCCAGTCCAAGGCAGTCCATCTTTGTCTATCTGCGCCCAGCTGTGTCCAGCTCAGCCCTACTCAGTCCAGCTCAGCCCCGACGAGCCCATGTCCGACCAGCTCAACTCATCCTCCCAGCACAGCCACTTCCAGTCCAGTGCAGTCCAGCTCATCTCAGCTCAGCCAGGCTCTGCCCAGCTCAGTCCAGCACGGTCCATCGGGTGTCAGCCTGACCCAGTTCAGCACAGCCCTAGCCCACTTCAGTTCTGTTCCCTCTGGCCCAGGCGAGGCCGTGGGGGGGGCGGGGACTTCGTGTCGTTGGATGGCCTCGCCTGTGTGGCGCCCTGCCCGACAAACGGAGCCGGCTCCCGCAGCTCGCGCTCGCACTGCGTCGTCATGGTCAAGGCGGGCCCGCCACAGCTCTACCCTGTGAGCGATGACCAGGGGCAACGGCAACGTTGGGGGGGGGAGGGGCGATGGGCTCGAGGCTCGAGGCTCGAGGCTTTCGGGCGCTCTCGTCGGATCTCGGCGGTTCTCCGCCCTCGGGATGCCTTCCAGCAGCTGCGCCTCGCCAAGGGCGTTCTGGGGGTGCTGGGTCGTCCGGAACGGCGGCCGGATGTCCGAGCTGTGGCCCGAAAGCCACCGGGGACGCAGATAGATTCAGGGGGGATGCATCGACCCCCAATCGCCCATGGATCGCCGATATGGCCCGCGCAGGAGCGTGCGGATTCGATATCGAGGGCGTATCGCCGATCTATCGGCGATGTGAATCGCCGATTCCAGGTCGATGCTTACCCCCATGAGCTGGCCCCCCAGAAGGTTCTCCCTCAGATGATGATTCGGAGAGCAAAGAAAGGCATAAACATAAGCTTTCGGAGGTCCTCTTGAATTTCTTGTATCGGCGCTGGACCCTTATCCCTGGCGCGCGGAGCGCGCCAGAAGCGGCGCCAGAGGCGCCGCCAGGGGGCTCCAGCGCCGATCCAAAAAATCCGTGCGTAGCGTACCTCCAAACATGTATATGTTCATGCCGCTTTATGTTCCTCGAAAGAGGAGGAGGAGGAGGGGGAGGAGGAGGAGGAGGAGGAGGAGGAGGAGGAGGAGGAGGAGGAGGAGGAGGAGAAGGAGGAGGGCGAGGAGGAGGAGGAAGAGGAGGAGGAGAAGGAGTCCGGCGACCAGGGTCGGTCTCCCGAAGGCCGGCCGTGTATTGCACACGCCCAGCCAACGAACTACCGCCCGGAAAGCAGCAACAGCTGCGCAGGAAGGGCATAGGGGTTGACCGCGTCGCCTGTGAAGACTCGCGGCCCAGCGGTTCCGACATGGTGCGTTGGGAGCCAAAGGCATCCCAGTCGGAACAGCTGGCACGGCATACTGAGGAGCACAAGCTCCCCAGCCCTGGGTGGGCACAAGGCCCCTTGGGACTCACGTGGCACAAGCCACCGCCTCCAGAGGAAATGCCGATCCTCGAGGGTCAGATCACAATGAAATGACCGCACAGGCGCCGCTACCCGTCTTCACCAGCAGGGCCAGGCTGAGACTGGGGCCGTGCTACACCCAACGACGGGAGACTCGTCGATACAGGTTTCGCAACGTCCACCCCAAGCCCCAGAGCCCGCGGTTTCAGAAAATTCGGCCGGTTGCACCCCGCCCAACCTGCGAAATATGTGCCGTGTACAGTGTGCCCCGAGGGTGCTCGGCACTGACACCATGAAAACAGGTGCCAGGCCTCACCGGAGGGGCGGAGGAGGAGGAGGAGGAGGAAGAGGAGGAGGAGGAGGAGGAGGAGGAGGAGGCGGGGGGCGGAGGAGGAGGAGGAGGAGGAGGAGGAGGAGGGGGCGGAGGAGGAGGAGGAGGAGGAGCAGGAGGAGGAGGAGGAGGAGGAGGAGGAGGAGGAGGAGGAGGAGGAGGAGGAGGCGGAAGAATATGAAGAGGAGAGGAGGATGGAGAGTGCGAGGAACACGGGCAAGAGCAGCACCGCTGCCGATCACGAGGCGCAGTCCTGCAGCGGCGGACGGGCCGCGGCGCCCACCGGCACTCCGGGGCGGCAGAGCTCAGAGCCCGCCGGCGGGCAGCAAGGCTCCAAGGGCCCCAAGTCCAGGGTTCCGCCTCCAAGCCTAGATGGCCCGAAAGGGTTCCGAAGCCGCCCAGATTTCGAGAAGGCCATGAAGAAGAGAAGGCGTGGACGGCACGGAGCTTCCAACATGCCTCCATTCGACAGCAGGTCCGTCTCAAGAGACGTTGAAGCAGTCTCTTCACTTGGTTAGGCTAGAGCGGAAGACTTGCGAGTTGGGTTCGGGGGAACCGTAGACCCTTCCCTGGGGGGTTGGATGAGCTAGCTTGCTGAGCCACCTGTGCCCAGAGGGCTAAGAGGATTTTAGCCCAGACAGTTGATCTCGTTGCCGAGCCCTATACAGCTATCTGCATTCCCTCGTTGGCCAGATCCCCTGCCCCCTGGCAGGCGATCGGCAATGGCAACTGGACCTTCCCGGCGGGATCGCGACGACAATGCACGAGTCTTGTGTGTTTGACGCATGGGATGCTTTTTCGGCGCTCTCGCCTCGTTGTCGTCGTCCTCCTCTTACTCCTCTTCCTTCTCCTCCTCCTGCTCCTCCTCCTGCTTCGCTTCCTTGCTGGAGCTGAGCATTTCGCCCCCTCCCCAGAGCACGGCAACCTCCTCTTCCCCCTCCTTCCCAGCTCACACGCCTTCAGGCTGTTCGGGACAAAGAGCTGGCCCTTCATGTTCATCAGCAGTCTAGAGTGGCAGCGCGCGCGTCACGCCTCAAGACCCTCGGATGACCGAAGTGCGGCGTCACGGCGCGTCGCCGTATGGATAATAAGGGGCATGATGATGATTGCGGCTGTGATGACGACGAGGACGACGACGATTATGTGACTGCGCTCAAGCCATAGACACGAACCTGCTGCGCAAGTGACCAGCGCCGTACGTCTCGCTCTTTGCCTCTAGTGCGGTCATCGGGAGGGCGCCTTCAGGCTGGTCCCACTTCTCCTCCCTCCCAGGGCCTCCGACGTCGCTGATTTCTATACAACGTGGACCCCCAGAGGTGTAGACCACTTCCCCAGGACCAAGTCCCTTCCCCTCCTCCTCCTCCTCCTCCTCCTCCGCCTCCTCCTCCTCCTCCTCCCATCCCGAGTCGTTTGTTGACCGTTCCGGGGCCCAGCAAGGGCCCCCAGAGTCCGAGAGACGTCGAGAACCTTCCGCCGTGATTTCGCCACAGCGCGAGGGGGTCTGGGTCCTTGCCGTCCTCCCCCCCTCCTCTTCCCCCTCCTTTCCCCCCTCCTCCCTTAGCCAGTTCGAATTTCTGCGTTTGTTCGGTCATTCGTTCGTTCGTTCGATCTTTCGCTCGTTCGTTCGTTCGTTCGTTCGTCCGTCCGTCGTTGCCGTCTTCGTCGTCGTCGTCGTCTCCTCATCGTCGTCGTCGTCGTCGTCGCCGTCGCCGTCGCCGTCGCCGTCGCCGCCGCCATGGTCGTGGTCGTGGTCGTGGTCGTGGTCGTGGTCGCGGTCGTGGTCGTGGTCGTGGTCGTGGTCGTGGTCGTGGTCGTGGTCGTGGTCGTGGTCGTGGTCGTGGTCGTGGTCGTCGTCGTCGTCGTCGTCGTCGTCGTCGTCGTCGTCGTCGTCCTCGTCGTCGTCGTCGTCGTCCTCGGTGGACCTCGTCTTTTCCCGGGCCTCGTGCCCCTTCGAGGGCGCGCGCGAGGCCTCCCTTGAATGCCAGGATCCTCCTCCCCGGATGCCCCGACGTCGTGATTTTCTCACGACGCGACGCCCTGAGGTCCGGACCCATTCCCCGGGGTCCGGTTTCTCGTGCCGAGTCGTTTTTTGACGGCCCCGAGGCCCGGTGAGGGTCCCCAGAGGCCGAACATGGCGAAGAACCTCCCGCCGTGATTCTTTCAGGACTTCGGGGGGCCTGGGCCCCCTCCGCCCCCCGCCCAGGGGGCCTGGGCCCCCTCCGCCCCCCTCCTCCCGGCCGTGAGGTCGACGCGGGCCCGCCCGGCTCGGCGGGCGCACCGCCGCGGCGCGCGGCCAAGCTCTGCCTGGCGGGCCGCCCCGCCTCGGGGGGGGGGCCCTCCGCCACTGGGGGGCAAACGTTCGGGGGGATCTGCTCAAGTCGGGCCTGTCCCTCCACAGGAGGAATAGTCAAAATAGTCAAAAGATAGTCTGGGGACTATTGAGGTGTGTGTGTGTGTGTTTCAATCGTATTTTTATGTTTCTCCCAACTAGGGATATACTCAGGTTGTGTGTTTTGTGTGTTTCAATCCGCCTGTAGGGGGACGCGCCCGACCTAAGGATATACTCAGGGGGGGATGCATTGAGCCCCAATTCGCCTACCTGCGGAGCCTCGGGTCCCCACTGCAGCGCTCTCCCGAACCGTCTCCCCGCAGCCCGCGAAGGGCCCTCACCAGGTCCCCTCTGGGCCCCCGATTCGGGCCCCCACTCCGAGACGACGACCTCGTGAGCCTCTGGGAGGCTCGGGAACGACGCTCCAGGGGGCAGGGATGACAGGGGAACGAAGAATGGCATAAACATACAAACTCGGAGGTCCGCGTGGATTTCTCGGATCGGAGCTGGACCCCCCTCTCTGGCGCGCAGAGCGCGCCAGGGGCGGCGCTGGAGGCGCCGCCAGGGGGATCCAGCGCCGATCCAAGGAATCCTCGCGGACCTCCACTTCTTTATGTTTATGTGACTTTCTGTTCCCCTATATGAGATCGCGAAGCTGAACTTACGGTGGAGGCGTGCGTTAAGGAATGTGGACAGGAGGTATCAGACCCTGAGGGTGTCGGTGATGTCCATGGCCAAACATCAGTTGGAGTTTCACGGGCTTCCAGACCATGGGTTCCTTATCTAAGGGTTCCTTATCCAATGCCCCCACCGTATTGCTAATGGAGGCTCGGTCGTTTCAGGTTCGTTCCCCCAGCTCCTCTCATGGGAGCATCTTGGGCAGATCGGGCACGGTCCTGGGGGCACGCCGCTTGTGCTCTGCCTCCGGCCCGCCAGCCGCGCACGTTGCTGTCATGACAGCTCCTCTCAGCGCGTGCTTTCCAATCCGCTCCTGCTTGTTCAAGAGTTAGAACGAAGGTGATATGGAGAGGTGCTTGTATGTCGGAGTAGCCGTAGAATAGGTTACGGAAATAGGTGAACAACATCATACATTCGACATATGTAAGTTACATGACCTTATGTAATAGGGTGTAAGCGCTCAAGCGCAAGCGGTGTTTGCGGCGCGCAGCGAGTGCCTTGCCGGGAGCTTTTGACAGCCATGCAAGTCTGTATCCTGTGCGAGTCCTGCACCGTAGTCGAAACCAGAAGCCCGCTGCCGAAAACTGTGTGTGACGCTGTCCCCCACTGCTGCTAGAAGGTTGGGCTGGTCAACGTTCCTGAATGCCTCGGTGATGGTTGGGAATTTGTCCCAATCTAGCTTCCAGTCGTTTCCCTCTGGTTTCTGCCAGTGGAGAGGTTCCCACGGGGTCCACTAGAGGTCCAGGACGGTGGTGAAGATGGCCGAGATGGGCCTCTTGCTCTGAACAACCTGCGGGGAGGTTTGAGGTCATTCAGTCTTTCCCAGATGTTACCCCAAACTCTGTGGATTCGAGGGGAACGTTCTGGGTTGTACGAAAGAAGTATGACCCACTCCGTGAGCAGCTCCCTGACTGCCGGCATCGCTGGATCTGGCGCCTCCATTGCCGGAGCGAGCAACGTGGTTGGGGCATCTACTGGCCTTTTTACCTTGCAGAGTCTGGCCTGCCAGCCGACGCAATGTGGTGACCTTCGTCCGGCTGGCGCCGAACGGCGCGGCCTCGCAAAAGGCTCTGTGAGATTGCACCCATCTTGAGCATCGGGACCCTGGCTTAGTATATGACCATCTCGCACTTCGAAGTCTTCCCAGATCGATCGATTGCTGCTCGATGTCTAGCTTTACCCTCTAGCCCCCTCCTGCTATGACCTGAGTTCCTCGATCCCCCCAGATAGGCGAAGGAGGCTTCCTCCCTGCTCCCTCCTCCCTCCTCCCTAATCCTCCCCCTCACCTATCCCTCCTCCTCCCTCTTCCCTCCTCTCTCTTTCAACCTCTCCTCCCCTCCTCCGCCCTCCGCCCTCTTCCCTCCTCTCTCCTTCGCCCTCCCACTCGTGTTCCCTCCTCCCTCCCTCCGCAACCCCTTCTCCCCCCCCCGCCCACTCCCGCTCCCTTCCCCGTCCTGCTCCCCGCGAGCCTCCTCCCCCCCTCGCTCCTGCCAGGCGGACCTGGCGGGGAGCGAGTGCCTCAAGAAGACCTGGCGCGGCCCGGGGCCCGCCTGCAGCCAGGTGGTCGAGGACCGGAGCGGGCGCGGGCGGACACGGTGTGGGAGCACAGGGAGGACGCTCTCTTCTGGTGAGGCAGCGAGGGGCCAAGACTCGGGCTGGGCGAAAGGGGGGGATTGGGAAAGGGGGGGTTACGAAATTTGCTGCATGCAGCTGGTTTCGGCCCCACCGAGGGGCCCATTCCTCGATACATCGTCGCCTCCGGCGCCGGGAGGCGCCGGGAAAATCAGCTACGTGAGCTGATTCTCAAACCCCCCCTTTGCCATCCCCCCCTTTCGCCCGACCCGAAAGACCCCCTCGAGGTATGAAAAAAACACGATGGAAGGTGCTTCACAATCTTCGGCCTGTGGGGGCCCTTACACCGGGCCTCGGGACCGTCAACAAAAAGACTCGGGATGAAGCACCGGTCCCGGGGAGTGGGTCTGGACCCCGGGGGGGCGCGTCATGGAAAAATCACGACGTCGGGGGTCTGGGGACGAGAGAGGGACGGAGTGAGGAGGAGGAGGGTTGGGAGGAAGACGCGGATGAGGGCCGTTGCCGATGATGGTGCCGATGACGACGATGATGCTGATGATGACGAGGACAATGCTTATGCTGGTGATGATGACGACGATGAAGATGATGCTGATAATGATGATGCTGACACGGACAACGATGCTGAATTACGATGATGCTGTTGCTGCTGATGGCGTTATTGATGCTGGTAACGATGACGATGATGATGACGATGGTGATGCTGCTGTCGACGATCCGATGATGTTGCTGCTGATGATGATATGACGATGCCGATGATGACGATGATGATGATTATGATGATGATGATGATGACGTTGATCATGATGATGAGGTAGATGATGATGGGGATGCTGCTGATGATGATGATGATGGTGATCATGATGATGAGGTGATGATGCTGCTCACCATCCTCATGCGCCTTCTGCGGATGAAGATGGTGGCGACGATGACGATGCTGCGTAGGATGATGAAGATGACGGTGATGGTTGTGCTGATGATGAGCATGACTATGATGCCGATGATGGCGATGCTGCTGATGACGATAACCATGACGCTGTTGCTGGTGATGATGCTGATGCTGATGATGATGATGATGAGGATGATGATGATGCTGCTGCTGCTGATGATGATGATGATGCTGACGTTGATGATGGTGTCGACGATGATGATGATGGTAATGATGATGATGATGATGATGATGATGATGATGATGATGATGATGATAATGATGATGATGTTGATGCTGATGATGATGATGATGATGATAATGATGATGACGATGATGGTTAATTATGATGATGATGATGATGATGATGATGATGATGATGATGATGATGATGATGATGATGATGATGATGGCGGTGGCCTTGGCAATGGCGATTATGATGCTGCTGCTGATGCTGATAATGCTTATGATGCGAATGGGGATGATGAGGATGCTGTTCATGATGCTGCTGATGATGAGGCGGCTGATGATGAGGCGGAGAAAACGAAATGGGAGGTGGCCCAGGAGGAGGAGGAGGAGGAGGAGGAGGAGGAGGAGAACAAGGAGCACAAGGAGGGAGATGGCAGACAGGTTTCCTACACACCTGCCTCTCCTCTTGCCTTCATCTTCTTCCCCGTCGCGCGCTCGACGCTGAGATCTTACCGCGGTGCTGGGATCAGTGCAGTTGTCCAGCGCCGGCTCGGATGAGGCATGAGGAGGATGGCCATGAGGAGGATGGCAATGAGGAGGAGGTGAAGGGGGAGAAGGAGTAGGAGGGAGGATGAGTATGCGGATGACGGTAAAGATGATGATGATGTTGACGAGGATGTTGCTGCTGCTGCTGCAGCTGCTGCTGCTGATGATGATGATAATGATGATGATGATGATGATGATGATGATGATGATGATGATGATGATGATGATGATGATGATGATGATGATGATAACGATGATGACGATGATGACGATGATGACGATGATGATGATGATGACCATGATGATTATGATGATGGTTATGATGTATGTTGACTCGGGTGATTCTGATGATGGTGAAGATGATGATGACGACGAGGAAGATAACGATGATGATGATCATGATGTTGCTAACGATGATGCTGTTGTTGAGGTTGATGATATTGTTGTTGGTAACGATAGTGATGATGCAGACGATGTCGTTGTTCATGGTGAACATGATGAGGAAGAGGAGGAGAAGCATGATGCGGATGAGGATGATGCCGATGGGGAGGATGATGCCGATGAAGACGATTATGATGATGACGATGATGATGATGATGATGATGATGACTATGATGACTATGATGATGATGATGCTGATGATGATGATGATGATGATGATGATGATGATGGGTATGCTGATGCTGATGATGGTAAGTATAAGGATGATGCTGTCGAGGATGACAATGCTGATGATGCTGATGATGATGCTGATGATGGTGCTGATGGTGATGATGCTGCTGCTGCTGATGATGATGAGGATCAGGATGATGAAGAGGAGGAGCAGGGAAGGAGGAGGACGATGAGGACGGGATGAAGAGGAGGATGAGGATGATGAAGAGAATGAGGAAGGAGGAGGAGGACGACGGGACGGGATGAAGAGGAGGATGACGAGGAAGACGCCGTAGATGGAGATAGTGCAGAGGGAAGAGGAGGGCCATGGGAGAATTGTGGACGAGGGGGAACGAGGGGGAATCAAGATTTGGGGGAGCGACCGACGAGCAGAGAACAGTTGGAGGACCAGCTGGGCACTTTCTTCTTATCGTTTTTTTCTTTTTTTTTCTTGCTGATCCTCTTCCTCTTGCTCCCTGTCCCCTCCGTCTCCTCCTGGTCTTGCTGCCCCCCTCCTGCTGTTCGCAGAGAGCATTCCCCCCCCCCGATGGTTGCTCGTCCCCATCAGCGCTGGGTCGGCCTGGGCGACCCTCGTGCCGAGGTGCGGGGCCGAAGCAGGGCGCAGGCACGGCAGGTTCGCGCCGCTCACCTGTTCTGGTTTTCACTCTCTCTCTCTCCTCCTCCTCCTCCTCCTTCTCCTCCTCCTCCTCCTCCTCGTCCTCCTCCTCCTCCTCCTCCTCCTCCTCCTCTTCCTCACTCTCCCTCTCCTTCCCCTTCCCCACCCAGAAAAGCTCTTTCCAACCAGAAGGGGGCCTTTCCAACCAGCAGAGGTTTCCTCGGAAGGTCACTTCACAACCAGGAAGGGCATTTTGCAGCCGCATAAGGAATATCCTGGTCAACCGGATTTCCATATAATTCCATGGCCCCGTCGTCCCACAAGGAACGCACATCGTTGCCCGACACGTGTTGGTTGTAAAGTGATTCTTCCTGGATAGGAAGTTGCGAACACACAGTACTGGAAGCCCTAGTCGTAGCAGTATTGGTGGTGGTTCTCGTAATTGTTGCATTTGTAGCAGTAGTGGTGGTAGTAGCAGTAGCAGTAGCAGTAGCAGTAGTAGTAGTAGTAGTAGTAGTAGTAGTAGTAGTAGTAGTATTCGTCGTCGCCGTCGTAGTCGTAATTGTAGTCGCAATAGTAGTAGTAGTAGTAGTAGTAGTAGTAGTAGTAGTAGTCGTAGTAGTAGTAGTAGTAGTCGTAGTAGTAGTAGTAGTCGCCGTCGTCGTCGTAGTCGTAGTAGTAGTAGTAGTAGTCGTAGTAGTAGTCGAAGTAGTAGTAGTAGTAGTAGTAGTAGTAGTCGTAGTAGTAGTAGTAGTAGTAGTAGTAGTAGTAGTAGTAGTAGTAGTAGTAGTAGTAGTCGTAGTAGGAGTAGTAGTAGTAGTAGTAGTAGTAGTAGTAGCAGTAGTAGTAGTAGTAGTAGTAGTAGCCGTAGTCGTAGTAGTAATAATAATCGTAGTAGTGGTCGTAGTAGTAGTAGTAGTAGTAGTAGAAGAAGTAGTAGTAGTAGTCGTCGTAGTAGTCGTCGTAGTAGTCGTAGTAGTAGTAGTAGTAGTCGTAGTAGTAGTTGTAGTGGAAGTAGTAGTGATAGCAGCCGTAGTAGTAGTAGTAGTCGTAGAAGTAGTAGTCGCCGTTTCAGTTGTAGTAATAGTCGTAGTAGTTGCCGTTTCAGTAGTAGTAGTCGCCGGTTCAGTAGTAGTAGTAGTAGTAGTAGCAGTAGTAGTAGTAGTAGTAGTAGTAGTAGTAGTCGTCGTCGTCGTAGTAGTAGTACTAGTAGTGGTACTAGTAGTAGTCGTAGTAGTCGCCGTAGTAGTAGTAGTAGTAGTAGTAGCAGTAGTAGTAGTAGTAGTAGTAGTAGTAGTAGTAGTAGTAGTAGCCGTAGTAGTAGTAGAGTAGTAATCGTAGCAGTCGTAGTAGTCGTAGTCGTAGTAGTCGTAGTAGTAGTAGTAGTAGTAGTAGTAGCAGTAGTAGTAGTAACAGTAGTAGTAGTAGCAGTAGTAGTAGTAGTAGTAGTAGTAGTAGTAGTAGTAGTAGTAATAGTAGTAAGTAGTAGTAGTAGTAGCCGTAGTAGTAGTAGAGTAGTTATCGTAGCAGTCGTAGAAGTCGTAGTCGTAGTAGTCCTTTGTAGTAGTAGTCGTAGTAGTAGTAGTAGTAGTAGTAGTAGCAGTAGTAGTAGTAACAGTAGTAGTAGTAGCAGTAGTAGTAGTAGTAGTAGTAGTAAGTAGTAGTAGTAGCAGTAGCAGTAGCAGTAGCAGTAGCAGTAGCAGTAGTAGTAGTAGTAGTAGTAGTCGTAGTACGTAGTAGTAGTAGTAGTAGTAGTAGTAGTAGTAGTATTAGTAGTGTAGTAGTAGTAGTAGTAGTAGTAGTAGTAGTAGCAGTAGTAGTAGTAGTAGTAGTAGTAGTAGTAGTAGTAGTAGTAGTAGTAGTAGTAGTAGTAGTAGTAGTAGTAGTAGTAGTAGCAGTAGTAGTAGAGGTAGTAGTAGTAGTAGTAGTAGTAGTAGTAGTAGCAGTAGCAGTAGTTGTTGTAGTAGTAGTAGTAGCAGCAGTGACCGTACTAGTTGTAGTCGCAATCGTAGATGTCGTATTGCTGGTCGCATTATTAGTAGTAGTAGT